TAGGTTTGTTTTCTTTCCACAGAAAACAACACACACTCAAAGGCCAGGGCAGAACATGGAAAAACAACCTTGAAGCCTCAGGCTGGGCTCACAGTGAATGTCAGTCAATGCCTACTCAGTGAGAAAAGAGCCCAAGGGGTGTTGAATTCACTGGGCTGTTTGCTCTGTACACTATCCTCAATGGAGGTGAGGGGGACTGCCAACATCCCATGGCTTAGGGAGGCAGGGCTGGCCTAGCAGGTGGGCATGCAAAGGTCACAAAATTCATGCAGACATGGCAGTTTCCTGGGTTCCACACCCCTCCCAGGGCTGCTGGAGGAGTCTAGCACCATCAGGGTACCTGCTAGGAGTTGGCACTCAGGGGGATCATTCTTCTCCCCCCACTCTGATGTGGAGTCCCTTCTCTGCTTACTTGCTTGGTGGATACCATCTGCATTCTGGCTTACTCCAGCCTGACTGTCATTCCCACACCCCAAGGACAGACACCCAGATGTGATTTCTCTGTATGCAACTAATCAAGAAAAGGCTGGGTGACTTCATTCTGTACTATCAGACAAGGGGATCCTGCTTCTGGAGTCAGGGGTCTGTGTCCTGCCTTCCTTCCCCTCCCTCCCCAACCCCGTCCACATCCCTGGGTCCTGACCTCAAGGAGTCTTGTTTTCTCTGGACTGATCCTAAGCCCAAAGGCTTTGCAGGCAGGTGGTTTCTGACAGTCTTGCTTCACTATGGCTCATCTTCCATGGCCCTCTGCAAAGGCCCCAACTTGTGACAGTCCCACCCAGACTGGTCTTGCTAAGGACAGCAGCTTCTGCTCCCTCTCCCCCAGGTACACTTCCATTTGTTCACTGTGTGATACCCAGCGTCAGGAACCCATATTTCAATCTCAGCCAACAGGACCAAGTGAAAGCAGCCGCAGCAGGGCCCCTGGCTGCCTCCCAAGTCAGATTCACTCCTATATATGGATCCCCGGGAGTTCTGTCGCCAAGTTTACGTGTGACCTAATCTGCTGACAATCTCGCCCAGTCTAGGGCCCAACTTGGGGAATGCCCTCACCCTGGAGAGAGTGTCCACTTGGAGGCAGAGGGGCTGGGAGGAGGCAGACTGGTGGCTTGGAGGTAGGGAAAAGGACAAGACGAGAAACTCTGAAGAACGGAGGGCAGCTCAAGTGCCTTCTACTCCAGTGCTGTCCCACGCCTATGAAAATGTCATAATACTCTGTGTAAACAAACCCATGAGCCTCTTTCACTTCCCAAAATCCTTTTAATACAGCATGAAAAGGCTATATTTCCATAGGCAGGCCATATACAGTCTCCAGGAATAAGGCACACAACGGAATGCCATCCCGGGGGCGGCCCTCTGCAGAGTCAGGAGCCTTCTCCACACACCCTGCGAGTGGGGCCCACGGGTTCTGTTTGTCTTTTAGCTGGACACACACATGAACAGATACAGACATGGATAGGATCACTGCATGGGGGTGGAGGAGGTTAAGCCATGAGGTCGGCCAGCAAAGCAATGATCCCCGCTGCCACCAGCCTGGTGTGGGCACGGCAGGGACACTCTGCCACTTCACTGATGGTTGGAACACCCTTCACTTCAGGGTTAGTTGCTCTGAGCTCCAATGTAGTGAGGTTTGATTAAATATTTGATTAGAGTAGATTCAAGTCTATTAGATGCTGGAGGGCAAGTGGACAGATCCAAGTTCAAAGAGCATGGGGCCCATTGGTGTGGCTCAGATGAAAAAGCTGGGAAGAGGAGCCACGGGGAGGCCTGCTTCTGACTTCCTCATCCCTCCATGATTCTTCCTGGCAGGCTGGTTCCTCAAATGCTTCCTCTTCCCCTTGTCCATTCCCTGCACCCCCACGAAATTAATAAAACTGTAATAACAAAATAACTTGAAGGTGCGAGAAAATAGATTACAATGCTGTGTTATCCTCCGTGGAAGAGGCACAATGAGGTCACCTTTCCCTTTTTTGCTATGTATCTATTAATAGCTCCCCTTAAAAAGGTAATACTTTCCAAAATACACATATGTATAAATACAGGACGAGAGCATATTCATGTCTAAACACTTGAATAATATGCTGGCTACTTAATACTGATATTTTCACCCAAGGAAAATAATATAGAATAACAACGACATGGCTTAAAAGGATTGCAAAGATTTTTTTCTTATCAGAATTATGTACCAACTTCATATAATATTCTACGTAGACAATATTTCCTTCTTAATGTAGTTCAGTTGCATACTTTTTACAGATCAAAGCATAATTAAAGAAAAAAAATAACAGGAAAAAGAGAAAACACCATAAATGTTTTCTTGAACTTCAACCAAAGGCTTGCAAAACACTTCCAGAAATTTGTATTTGACATTCTATTGTCTTCTTAAATGCACTGAAGTTTTGAAAATGTCTTTTTGTTTGTTCTTTAATCTCAAAAATATCAAGCAATCATATTTTTCTTTTTCTTTCTTTCTTTTCTTCTTTTTTTTTTTTAAAGGCCCTCAAATATATACAGACAAAAATCACTGTGAAGATTTTTCGGGAGAAGCTAACCAAATTCAGTGTTGTGAGAAAAACTGGTAACCATGCAGAAATTTTAACATCTATGAAATTTGCTTTCAAAATACACACATAATATTTTTGTTTTTTAAAAAAGAAATTCTGTGTCAAGTATAACTCAAAATAAATACAAATTCACAAGTAGAGCTATTGAATACTTCTAGCGGGGTAAACACCGTTTTCTCTCAACTGGATCTCTAAATCAACTGGATCACTATATCTACTGACTACATACAACCGTCCCTTCTGAACATACTAAAACTGCATTCTTTCTTATCCCCTGGGCTCCAAGTCCCTCTGAGCACTTAATTCTCACAGCACCTGGCCTGGGCAATGGTGTCTTTTGCTGACCATGCAGAATTTCCAAATTCAGCCTGGACAGTGCAAGGGGAGAACATGGAAAGGCTGCCCAGGCAGGAGGCTCCAGCCCTGCACAGATGGCAGGACAACGACTGCCAACTGGACCAACCACCAAAAAGGTCACTTTAGGGTGATATCCCACCTCCTGCTGGCCTTGGCCTCCTGCAGTATGAAGCCTGGGTTCTTTTTAGGGTGTAGGCTTCCCCCAACCTTTACAGCCAGGTTGGCAGAATTCAGGCATCCTTGGGCTAAGGGTCCCCATGTCCAGCTTATCCTCAGCTGAGACAGCATACTACCCACCCCATACATGTTCTCTTTAGAGGCCCAGGAAGATGACTGACAGCAACAGCTCCTTCTGAGGGACAGACACATCGGGCAGGGCCACCCAGCTCATCCCAGTGCAGGTGCTGGGCCGGGGAGCCCTCAGTGGCAGTCCTCAGAGGTGGCCAGTTGCTCAGTTTGCTGCCAGCAGACTGTGCATGTTGGTAGGTGGCAGAGAGGCAGCAAGAAGACTGGGCTGCTACAAATATGCATTTTGTAAGTGCTCAGAGGGTATGCCCCGCCCCCCCACCAAAATCCACCCTGCAGCGCACTGGCTACAGAAACACTCCATCTCTTCGCTCGTTCCCTGGACCTTGACTAACACTTAACTGTAACTCCTCAGCTGTACAAAGCATTTTCATTTGAAAACAAAAGGCGACTGGCACCGGATGGGTGTCCTCCAGCCATGGTAAACACTGAATTTCAGGCCCATTTCATGGTCTGATTCCCTATCCCTCCCCCCAGAGGCATAGCATTGGGGCAAAATCAAGTGACCCAGTCCTGGCACTGGTTCACTCCCTCCTCCAGGAGAAGAAAAAACAAGAGAAGAATAGCTTCTCACTGAGGAGAGGAGGGCGTGCTCCTTGCTAGCCAGGACAGTGGTCTCCATGACCATGGGATGTGCCTCTCTGCTCCCTGGAGAATTAGGAAGTCACTGTCCCTTTTCCAAACAAGAGGTTCTGTGGCTTGTCTCAGGCTCGCCCCTAGGCATGATGAGCTACAGAGAGGGTTTGGCATTGCTCAGCCTGACTTCCTAACTGACTAAAGGGGGCAGTGGTGTGGATTATGGGGCACCTGAGAGGTGTCTTCCACCACTGTGGAAGTCCCTGTTCCAGGAAGGAACCCACCCAGTCCCCCAACCCCCAAAACTCCAGAATTGACAGGGACTTCTTTGCTCTCCAGTGTCACTCTCTCACTTAACTGGCAGGGAAACTGAGGCTGGGAATGAGAAGTCCTTGCCCTAGGTGACACAATGTGTCCCCAGAACGCCAAGTCTACATCCTTCATGCCAGAGCGGCTTCTATTCTGGGCCTCCAGCCTCAATGGTTGCAGCCTCCAGCAGGGTGGGAGGCCAAGGGGAAGGGAGATAAATGGGGCTGACAGAACCTAAGCCCACAGGACAGTGGCTGGTGGTGGTCAAGGGAGGTGGTGCCCGATGTCCCCAGGACATATCTCGGACCACTGTCCAGTGTACAGTGCCTCCCTGTGCTACCCTCTGCCCTGGGCCCATGGGAGGTGCTACAGCTCTCAGGTGCAATGCAGTGACGTCAGAGACAGACAGGGCTTGGCACTCAATGTGGGTGTGGACAGAAGCCCCCTCCCCAGCAGCTGCTAGTGCAGGTATCTGCTCACTGTGACTAGGGGCTTAGCACTGAAGATAAGGACTCTCCGAGAGTGGCTTTTTACGCAGGGCAATCTGGAAGGTTCCGGTTGGGAGATGGTTGGCTGGTCTTGGGGAGACGACCCCTGTAAGCTTTGGGATTCACAGTACATTTAGTGCACTTGTGGCCAATTCAAGGCTGCTCACCCCAATGGGACTGCCAAGGAAGAGAGCCTGTGGGGACACCAAGGGCTGTGTGGATCCAGGCTCAGACCTCTGCTGGACTTTGCCCCTCCACAGAGCCCCAGGCCCACTGTGAAGAGCCCTGAGACCCTGCTCCCATGGCCTGTCTGGGAGCCATGCCGTCACACTGTTTGTCACACACAAGACAAGGACTGGAGTCCCCTACCCAGGCCATCAGGCCTGTGATGATGCCCTATGCAAGGGGACAAGCAGCTCCTCAGAGCGGCACAGGAAAGCAGTGGCTGGCGGGGTGCTGTGGCAGCAGTGGTCACTGCACGCGGCGGCAGTAGTAGCCAAGGACCTTGCACTTTTCACACAGGTGCTGTGGGTGCTCCTTGCTCTGGTCAGACACGTCCAAGCCATCGGGCTTCTCCAGAGGTCTCTGCAGAGAGATAGAGGAAGGGGCCGAGGGAGGGAGAAACACAGAGAAAAACAGGAGAGTGAGACAGACCGGAAAGGCCCAGAGAGACAGAGGGCACACATCCAGACAGAGAGAGAAAGAGACAGAGAGAGACACACAGAAACAGAGGTACACACAGACAATGAGACAGAGAGTGACAGAGAGATACACAGAGAGAAATACACAGAAACAAAGACATAAGGAGACAGAGATATAGAGGCACACAGAGCAGAGTTAGTTATACACGTCCACAGTGACAGGTACACAGCGACAGAAGGAGATACACAGTGATAGAAGAATACAACAAGATACACAGGAAGGGATCCAGACCATGACATAGAGACACACAAATGCGAAGAGACAAAGAGAAACAGAGACATACGTATTTACACACAGAGAAAGAGATGGAGATTGAGACAGAGACAGATATATATATATATATATATATATTACACATATATACACACACACACACACACACAGAATGAGAGAGAGAGAGAGAGAGAGAGAGAGAGAGAGAGAGAACCTGTAGTTACAGATGGCTCAGTGAGGCACCACAACCAGGCCTCTGGTCTCTGTGTTTGGGAGGTGCGGGTTGAGGCCCTGGACTGGAGTCAAAGCCATGGGATGGGGTCTTAGACCTAGAACCTGGGCACACACACTGCTTAATCCCCCAGGCCTCTCCAAGCAGCCACCACCTGAAGCTCCCAATTGCCCAGGACAGGGGTACAAAGACATCTGCCAGATGAGAAAACCAAGTCCCTGGGCAAGGGAGACCAACTCACATCTTCTGATTCCCAGCATTCAGCCTTCTTCCCTGGCCAATTGTCACTTCTGCCCCTGCTTGGTAAGCCTCAAGATTCAAGGAAAGATTAGCCTGGACACAGCTGCAGCACTGAAACCTTGGGTGAATGATTCCTTGGCTCTGTGAAGCTGGCCTAAGGCTTGGGGTCACCCCACATCCCAGAGACTGGCTCACCCAGATCTGATAGTTGAGTTACTACATGAATGGAACCTCACTGTTTCTTTTTTCTTTCTTTGGTAGTACTGGGGTTTGAACTCAGGGCCTTGCACTTGCTAGACAGGCACTCTACCACTTGAACCACGCTCCTAGCCTTCTCACTGTTTTCTAATAGGGAAACTGAGGCCAGAGAAGGTAGGCGAATTGCCAGAGCTATCATGCCACTTCCAAATATGTAAAGTGGGCCCCTCACAACACCTCCTCTGCAGGGCTTGAGGACGACCCAGAGGGACTTTGGGCTGTTTTCAAAGCAGGCTGAATTAGTCACACTCTTGAGCCATTTCTGATGGCACCGAGCTTCGTTGCTCCCTTTTCTCCACTCCTGCTCTGAAAGGTCAGTGAAGAGTGTCTCCCCTGAAACGTTACAGAGGCTGCTCTGAGCATCACCACCAGCAGGGAGCACCTACTGAGCAGTTTCTTGGCTGGCCCTAGAAACACCGCTTCCCTTCAGCCCCATCCGCAGCCTGTAGAAGGAATCTACACTGACTTGAGGGGACTCAGAGGAAGCCAGTCAGGGCCAGCTCTGGGACTCATGCTGAGGACAGGGGTCAGGAACTGCAGGCTGAAGTGGGATGAGGACCCTTGAGTGCCACGGACATGACCCAGGCTGGTCAGGGAAGGGCACTGAGGTCCATGCTGCCTCCTGTCCAAACTGAATTGCTCACAAATAGCACACTGGATTTTCTGCCCAATCGAGTCCTGGCTCCACACAGACACTCAGAGCAGCTGGGGGTTAGAAGAGCTGGAGAGGTGAGGTGGAGACGATGCGTGGGGAGGATTCTAATCCAGGGACCCATCCCCGTCCCCAGGGGCAAGAAAATCTGTCCCATTGCTTCCAAACTATAGGCCTGGGCCTGGGGATTTCAGAGGGCTGCTTCCCTGTCTAGACTATCCTGGCCAGGGAAGAGGAGAAAGCTTGACTTCATGTCAGACCTTGTTCCAAATGCCAACGAACCGTGCGACCCCTCAGAGCCACCGTCTCCTCTTCTGTAAAAGGGAATGTTGACCACACTTTTCCCATGATCCCAACCTCTCAATGGAGATAATGAAAGAGCACAGCATGTAGACATGGTCACTACTGCTTGTTCTTACTATTTGTGGGCGGGGACACAGGATGGTATAGAGTCACTCACAGTTGAAGGCAGGTAAAAGGGCCTAGAAAGGTCACCCCCCTGCTTTCTCAAACTTTCCACTAGAGACCTAGAGCAGTGTTTCCTTCCTCCCCTGTGGGACTGCAAGCCCCAGGGCTGGGAGCTTTCTGTTGGCAGTGGCACTGGCTCAGATCACCACTGGCACTGTGAGAAGGGCTCTTGTGAGCTGGAAGCTGGGTCCCTGAACTCTCATCCTGACGGTCTCCATGACACAGGCCACATGGGCTCTCTGCTCTGCTCCCACAGGATGGTCTGACTGATGTGGCCCTGAAGTGTCCCCTTCAGTAGACCAAACCCAATATGGTTTCTAGCCACCCTCTGCCACTCCCCACAGCCCTCTGGCCAGGGGCCCTCCCTGAACCAGCTTCCCAGCAGGAGCCAGAGAGGCTGGAGTGAGCAGGCCTACTACCCTGGCTCCCCTGGTCTATACTTCATGTGACTGAGTTCTGCCACATAAGTCAGGCCACCTGGCTGCACAGCTTCCCTGAGAATGGCATGTTACCATCCATTTTACAATGAGGAAACTGAGGCTCCAAGACATTTAAGAGTCTTTTGTTCAGGTCCTGCACTGAGGAGGTGGTACGCCTGTGGCTGGCAGCCATACCTGCTCTCCAGTTCCGTGCTGCAGGAAAGATACTGCCTGCTGCCCACCAGCTGGTCCCTTGGCTGCCCTGTCCTGGGGCTCAGGGCCAGCTTATGACCAGCACTCACTCCAGGTCTTGTATTCTCCCTCTGGCCTGCCCTTGGTCCCTGATTTCTGTTCCCAGGGCAGCACCCCTCCTTTAAGACTGGTCCATCTCCTATGTATTGCTCTGCTATACACACCCTGCTCTGGGTCTTCACCACAGGGGCTGATAGGGGTCCTGCAGACCCAGGGAGGAGGACAGAGCCTCCAGGAAGCCTGGAGGGGCTGTCTCTAGTTTGTCCAGAAGACACTTCTAGCGAACTCCTCTGTGGCTATCTCCTGTGTTGTGTTCATACAACAGAGTCACTGGAGTAGGCAAAGTGTTGATGCCAGCTCTGCCACACATCAGCCGAGGGCTGTCAGGTGAGATTTCTCTTCCAGGACTTCAGCTTGCCCGTCCTGTAGCCTGGGCATGTATGTGTTTAAATGAGATGACTGCCTTGCAATACTCTATAACCAGAAAGAGCTCTGTAAGAATTAGTAATTGCTGTGTGACTTTTAGCATGTCCTTTAACCTGTCTGTGCCTCAATTTTCCCCTCTATTAAATGGAGCTAATTTGTACCTAATTTGAGGGTTGTTGTGAAGAGTACATAAGAGATGCCTAGTGACTAGAACAGTGCCTGGCACAGAGAGAGGACTCAAAGTGTTGGCCAGTAAAACATCACACATTATCAGTGGTATGATGCAGGATAAGGGCTGGCTGGGGACAGAAAGGCAGCTGAGTCATTCCTGAAACATTCCTGCAGCATCCTCACCAGCCCCAGCTTGGCTCATCTGAGCTGTGCCCCTCCTTGGCAGTGACCTGTGGTGCCGCGTCCCCCTGTGGGCCTTAGTCTGGCTGCTCAGCCCAGCCCAGCTCTGGGGGAGCTGTCAGGACCATGTTCTTCAGTGAGGGAAAACTCCCAGCAGCTGGACAGATCTGCAGGACCTCCCCCCTTGCAGGGAGGGCAGGCCATTAATGTTTTCTTCTGTGGGGGCAGAGTCTGTGGGGGGCCGGGCGGGGGGAGCTGCAGCTGGAGCCTGACAGGAAACAGATGTGGGGAAGCATGGGCTTCTGGGGGATGATGCAGCCCAGGTCAAAGACAGTGGGAGGCAGGAGAAACCAACCAGCCCCTCTCCACACAGGGGACCTGAGGAGGGGCTCCAGCGCCTCCTCCAACTCTTCAAAGGGTCCAGATTGCTGGAAGACTGCAGGGGACAACCCCTCAGCCCTCCTCTCCAATTTATGTCCTCCCAGAGAGCAAGAAAAGCTGTGTGTGAGAAACCCATGGTCCCAGGAGAGGATACTGAGGGCTGGCATGAGAGAGCTGGACCAGAACCCTCAACACTGGCTGGCTGGGTGATCCTGCTCAAGTCCCATCTCCTCTTTGGGCTTCAGTGTCCCTGATGTATACAGCAGGTGCTCAACAAACACTGGTTGAGCAACTGGAGAGGGAAGAGTATAGCCACGTGCTTGTTCTCCAAAGACCCTTCCTGATTGGGCCATTGGAGGCTCTGGGGCAACTGACGAAGAAGGCTATGCTGGCAGGATGGAGCCCAGTGTGGTGGGGTGGCCATCACCAGCTGAGGATGGCCTGGCATGGGGCAAGGACACAGCGAAGATCCTGCCTTGCTGGGTACTGGAGCAAAATGGTGCAGAGGTGGGGACACAGGGACTTGGGTCCTGCCAGCCTTGGGTGTGTGAGTTGGTCCTGACTCTCTGCCCTGGTCACAGAGGATATGAGAGTTGTAAAGACTGAGCTGCCACCAGACCTGCAGCCCAGACCTAAGCAGCCTCATGTGTGTTAGGCCCTGCAGAAACTGGGCAGTCCCAATTCCCTGCCCCAGCCATTATGGCCTGTCATTCCTCACCTCCGTCTCCCCCCTCAGGTTCCATGCTAACCTCCAGCTCCAAACCCGATCCTTTCCCATGCATCCCAGATTCTCTACTGACTTACACCCCCATGCCTCAGTTTCCTCCTTTGTGAAGTAGGGAACACATAGGGCTGACCTCAGGTGCTGTCTGAAAGTATGACAGGTACAAAGTTGCAGAGGGTGCTGACACATTGCTCCAGGACACCCAGGACATAGGAGCCTGAATTGGGACAAAAACCGGGGCCTGACTCTTCTACCAAGAGCTATTCCACCCCTTCCCACAAGTGTCAGTCCACTGGACAAGTAAGAAAACACAATGGTTGGGGTTCTGCGGTGCCTTGTGGCCCTGGTGGCCCTGTTTGTCTCATGACATTAGTTTTAACATTCATCTGGGGTCTCTGCTCTCAGGACCTTGGTGCAATGGCCCCTTTACACTCCCTCCTGCCCCGAGGAGATGCGCTCCCCTGCCCCCTCCCCCCACCCCGTCACCCCCATTTTAGGTGAGACCAGGAAGGCCCAACTTGGACAGATCTGCCCTCATCCTCTCTGCATAAAGGAGTTAAATGAGGCTGAGAAAGGGGCAAAGCCACCCCACGGTGGGCTTGCAAAGAAAGACCCTCCCACTGCTCCGGCCTGACCCCACCCCTGCCCTGTGGCTCCACTCCACCCAGAGACCCCACCCACCTGCTTGTGCGGGTACACGTTGATGTGGCATTTGATGCACTCCTGCCCCATGTTGGCCCACGAGTTCCCGCTCATCCATTTTCTCTTGCACTTGGGACACTTGTACTCTCCAAAGCAGCGCTTTTTGCCCTGGTACGGTGTCAGGCCCTCGCCTTTGGGGCGTGCCTAGAGGACAGGAAGCAAACACAGGGGTTGGGGTCCTTGAGGTTAAGATGATGTCCCTATTGGGTCCCCGTGGCTCTGCCTTCCATCAGCATATCCTGTGTCTCTGTGCAAGCACCTTTTCCCCCAATCAAAAGTACCAAGGTCACCTCCAGTACACACCTGGGAAGCCAAGCCTGGGTGAGACTTCCCTCCACTCTCTCCTGCCAAGTACACACAGACTAGAGGAAGAGGGAGGCATGTCTTCTTTAAATTTAAGGAGTAAAAGACTCAATGATGGCTAGGAGCTGTCATAAAGGGGCAGCTGATGGTCATAGGGACATGCACACAGGTGTAGAAACTGGTATATAGTGAGTCACTCCAGCCCCACAGGCGGCCCTACCTGGAGGCAATTTTCTTCCAGGCTGGCCTCCAACTTGCCATCCTCTTGCCTCCACTTCCCAAGTGCTGGAGTTACAGGGGTGAGGTACCACAGCCCTGGAGACAGTCAATTTTCCTTTATTCCTCCCCAAAGCAGCCCTTTGTGTACAGACATTCGGCATATGCCATGTGTAGGTGTTCTCTCTGGCCAATGGAAACAGGTTACACATCTGGTTCTCCATCTTCCGGTTTATTTAATGATAAATCTTGGTGTTTCCCCACATCAGTGCAGACAGAGCTCCTGTATTTTATTTAACAGTTGGGCAGTAGTGGAATCCAAGCTTGTGCGTATTTAGGTCAGCATTTCAGAAAGTCTAGATTGTTTCCGTTCTTCTGTTGTTACAACAAGGCTACCATGAGTAGTATAGCATGTGTGTCATTTTGCACATGTATAAGCTTATTTGAAGGATAAATTCCTAGAAGCAAGATTGCTGAGTCAATGGGTATATGTACTATTCATTTTTAAAGATAAAACCAAACTGCTACTGCTCACCCCGGCATACTGCATGTTCACTAACTTAATCTTCCAAATCCTTACAAACAGTTTTAATGATAGTAGTCCATCCTTATCTCCAGTTCCACTTTCCACAATTTTGTTTCCCTTGGTTTCTGTTATCTGTGGTCAGAAAGTGTTCAATGAGAAAGTCCAGAAATAAACAACTGGGAAGTTTTAAATTGTACACTGTTCTGAGTGGTGAGATGGGATCTCCCTCAATCCCACCAGGGATGTGGATCATCCTGATGTCCAGCGTATCGGTGCTGTATACACTACCCACCCATTATTCATTCAGCAGCTGTCCCAGTGATCAGGTTGATTGTTTTCAAGTGACCCTTATTTTACATAGTGGTGGCCCTACAGTGCAAGGGCAGTGATGTAGGCAATCCAGATATGTCAAAGAGAACCTGTAAAGTGTTTTCTTAAGGTGAAAAGATGAAAGTTCTCTCAATAAGGAAGGAAAAAAATCATATGCTCAAAGTTCCTATGATCTATGGGTTAAAACAAATTTTCTATTTGAGAAACTATGAAGAAATTCAGTTTTGCTATCACAACTGAAATTGGGAAAGTCATGGCCACAGTATATAAGTGCTTAGTTAAGTTAGAAAAAAGCCCACTAAATTAAAGGATTCAGCACTATCTATGGTTTCACACAACCACTAAGGGTTCTGAAACTTATCTCCCCATGTAACCAGGGCACTATGACATTGCCAATCTAAAGTAGAAAAGTTGTCAGAGTACCTTTAGCTTAAACATCTTTTATTATAAAAAGAGGGCATTTGTCCATGTATTTAAGAACTATTTGTTCATACTCTGTGATTTTTTTTTTTTCTGCTAGGGTTTGATATTTTCTCATTGACTTGTAACTGTACTTTACTTTGTAAAGAAGTTAGCTCTTTCCTGCTGTATTGAGATATAATTCATATATCTTATATTTTACCATTTCAAGTGGACATTTCAATGGTTTTTGGTATATTCACAAAGTTGTACAACCATCACTACAATCTAATTTTAGAACCCTTCTATCATCTTCCCAAAGTAGCCCCGTACCAACTCATAGTTACTCCTATTCTGCCCCCACCTCCTCCTGCCACCCAGCTCACATCTATTCTGTCTCTATAAATTTCCGATTTTTAATACTTCATGCAAGCAGAAACAGACAGCACCTATCCTTTTGTGTCTGGCTTCTTTCACTTAATGGAATGTTTTCATGGCTCATTCATCTTAAAGCATATGTCAGTACTCCATTCATTCTTGTTATCTGATAGTAATTTTATGGATATGCCATGTTTTATTTACCTATCTGGGTTGTTTCTAATTTTGGGCTATTAAGAATAAAGTTAATAAGAGCATTTGTGTATACAATAGTGTTTTTAAAAGTTGGCCTAGTTACGCCAATATTTGAAAATAGGAATCCTAGCTTCTAGGGAGGCTAAAATCAGGAGGATGGCAGTTTGAGGCCAGACCTCCTGACAAAAAAGTTTGCAAGACCCTATCTCAGCTAACAGCTGGGCACAGTGGTATGTGCCTTCATCCCAGCTATGGTAGAAAGCCTAAAATAGGAACACTGTAGACCAGGCCATCCTGGGCAAAAAGTGTTACCCTATCACCAAGACAACCACAGCAAAAAAAGGCTGGAGGTGTGGTTCAAGTGGTAGAGCACCTGCCTAGCAAGTGGGAAGTCCCAGTACTGCCAAAAAAAAAAGGAAAGAAAATATAAAAATAGGGGACTTCCCATAGACATGGACCACACTAGTCTAAAGTTCGTGCTAGCTAAGGTTGAGGAGGGGCTGGCCATCAGACCCAGTGCTCACGTCCACCATGTCCCCTCGTCCCACATCCTTCCTTCCCCTGCCCTGCCTGCTTGGTCCTTGGAGGCTTTGAATTTGAGGTAGGCTTGAACACAGGCTTGATGCTGTGACAACTAAGTGTGGTCCCCAGTGGCAGCATCTCCTGGCAGCTTGTTAGAAATGAAGGCTCTCAGACTTCATCTTAGATCCTCAGAATCAAAACCTGCATTTTGACAGGAGTCCTGTGGAGTTCAGTAAGTGCAGGAAGCCCCAGGTTGTGAGGGATCTGTTTCCACATCAATCCTGACTGATAACCTGCTTAGGTCACACTGCACAGTGGTTAGGAGCACAGACTCTACCTCCTAATCCTGGCACCCTAATCTTGGGCACATTACTTCCCCAGCATGATGGAAGTAGCTACAATCTAAGGCAGTTCTGAGGATTAAATGAGATGATATAGTAAAATGCTGATCCGGGGAGTGACTCAAGCAGTACAGCATCTTCTGCCTAGCAAGTTTGAGGCCCTGTATTCAAATCTCAGCACTACCAAAAATAAAAACACAAGATTATTAGTACTACTACAATATTTACTGATCTGGAACAACAGTGGTAAATAAAGGAACAATTTCTTTCTCTAATAATCATGTTTTCTTTTTTTTCCAGAAGTCATTATTACCATGTGGTAATGGCCTACTAGAATTTCAGGCAAAATGCTAAAAAGGGACAGAGGTGCTGAATGTGGGAATCTGAACTTAGAAAGCGATAGCAACACTGCCCTGACCTTTTGGGCTCATGGCCTGTTGTTTTTGGGATCCTTTTTGGACTCACTGGCAGCGCTGGCATCCAGGAGAGAAGGTTCAGTCTGAGTTCTAGGCAGGACTGAGAGAGGCCATGACTTCAAGGGGTGTACTCCACATGCAACCAGGGCCTGGTCCAGTCACTTTGGGGTCACCCTGTGTCCCCACTGAAAGCACCTTGAAGCTCCATGTGTCTCTAATTATGGGGTATCCCTCTGAGCCTTTCTGGTGCCACCTACTCCCTCACCTGCCTCCCTGTGGCCCCATGTCCACAGCCATCCTGCTCCTGTCATCCTGAAAAAATGTGCCACATGCATTCACTCTCCTGTTCTTAGGGGCATCATCTACCCTGTTAGAAAAAGCATGAGGAAAAAGGTTGGTGCATTAATCATGGTGGGCTCTGGGACCTCTTTACTGAAGGGGGTACTGGGGACCGTCTCCAGCCACACCCACTCTAGGATTTGGCTCTAAAGACTTCTTAGCTCAGAGAGATGACTGGACTGGGGGCTGGGCCTCCCTTGGGTAGGGGCAAAGGGCAGGGGTCAACGTATCATAGGAAAGGGTCAAGTCATCCCAGGACACCCTCAGAGCAAAGCATGGAATCTGGGCCAGGATTAGAAATAGAATTCTAGTCCCGAGGAGTCTCAGTTTTGAAACAAGCAGGAAGGACTCTCACACAGATAATGGGGTGCAGAGTGTGGGCTAAAGCGAGAAGCAGAGAGGTGGAATAGAAGGGCAGGTGACCAGGGAGCAGAGTCACAACTTGAAATTAGAGAGGCAGTCCTTCTGGACCTGTCCATCAGGCAGTCAAGGACAGGGCACCTAGTCCTTGCAGGTCAGACAGCCTCAGTACTCATAGCTAACAGACCAGGCCCTGGGAGGGTTGAGGCTCAGACCCTGGACTGCAGGTCAAATGACCGCATTACAAGCTGGCTCTGCCTGTGACATGTGGGGGACCCTCAGTAATTCACTCAACATCTCTGTGCCTCTGAGTTCTCATCTGGAAACCAGGTGAGGATCCTGAGGCTGCTGGGAGGGTCTGATGCATTCATGGGTACAAAGGTCTTAGCTCAGTGCAGGGTGCACAACAGTACTTGGTGACCATCAGCTATTTCAGTATGGGTCACTCCTGGGCCATGAAGAGAGGGAGCAGAGACAGAGCTGATGCAGCAGCAAGGCTGAGACTCAAGGGTATCAGTCCAAAGAAGGTTCCAGAAATGTGCTCTCTGTTCCTGGGTTGGGGGTGGAGGGCAGCAAGCAAAAGAAAGAATGGTGCTAGGTGTCTTCACCTTCTGAAATATTCTCACAGAAGTACCAAGAAAGATAGAAGGAGGCTGCAGAAGCTTGGACACCTGCTGGCAGAGGGCAAGGAAAGAGGGAAGAGACCTGACATTTGTGTGGCACTCCCTGATTGCTGGGCTTTGCACTCAAGGCTCCTTGCCTGTCAGGTTCCCATTTGACTCTTCCCAGAACCCTCTGGGGCAGGGAATATTATCAATC